GTTGGAGTCTCACTCTGTCGCCCAGACTGGAGTGCAGTGGCCGCTCCCGGCCACCGCAGCCTCGACCCGCTGGGTTCTGGCGATCCTTCTGCCTCAGCCTTCCAAGTAGCTGGAACTACAGGCGCGCGCTACCACGACCGACTAATTTTTTGATTTATTGTAGTTGCCCAGGAGGGTCTCGAACCCGTGGGCTCAGGCAATTCACTCAGTTTTTGCAGGCCCGTCTGCACAAACGCCCCTGGCTGTCTTTCCTACCCACACATCAGAAAGTGCCCTCCATATCTGGGCTTGCGATTTCTCGTGAAAGGGTGATCATGCCAGAATACTCTAGAATATTTGGCCTGTGAGCTTTCCCCCTCCCAGCTAGCACTGGGATTTTAAAAAAAGTGGAAGTATTTATGGGACTGAGCCCCTCACAGGGTCAGACCCTGAGGAAGGGGAAAGGGAGTGAGTGAGCTGTGGAAGGGAAGGGGGAAACAGAGCCGCCAGGTTTATAAAGATCCCCTGGGTGTGCTGTCCCCTGTGTCCCGGTGGAAAGGCATCGGTGATGTGCCAGTGGCCCATCAAGGCAGGCAACTGAAATCTGCTGGGCAGAATTTGTTCCTAAATCCTTTCCAGATGCCTTATAGTAAACATGAAATTAGTCACTTACATGGAGTAGGTTGAGGAAGTAGTTAAAATTGAAGTCGGTGACTGATCTAATAAAGGGCCACTAGCCTCAAGAAGGGAGTGGGGGCCAGAAAGATGCCCCACCCACCCCATTTGTGCTTGGGGTGGGTGGGGCTCCCTCACTGAAGGGTGGAGACTGCTGTGCCATGAGAGAGCCAGGGAGTTGTGGTGGGAATATCCTTTCATCTTCCCAAGATGGCCCACGGGGACCCAGATTAGAGACCCATGGCCTGGGCTCCTCTTTCTGACCCCGCTGGACCCCGCTGTTGATCATTCAGCCTAGGGTTTCATGTGACCTGGCCGAGCCACTCTTTTACCCAGGTGATGTGAGGTCTCTTGAAATACAACAATGAGACTGTGAACTCAGAGCGTGCTTAGGGTGTGGGAGGCATTTGCATGGCCTTTGGAGTGGCAGAATTGTCAAAAAATGCCATGTTATATTTTCCCTAGGCATAGACTCTCTCCACAAAGTAATGTATCTAGAACCCTTATACATGATGTCTTCAAAGTAGGCATTCTAAAAAACTATAGGCCAGGCATGGTGGCTCATGCCTATAATCCCAGCACCTTGGGAGGTTGAGGCAGGAGGATCACTTGAGCCCAGGAGTTCGAGACCAGCCTGGGCAACATAGTGAGACCTTGTCTCTAAGAAAATAAATAAATAGTTAGCCAGGTGTGGTGGCATGCACCTGTGGTCCCAGCTACTCAGGAGGCTGAGGCGGGAGGATTGCCTGAGCCCAGGAGTTTGAGGCCGCAGTAAGCCATGATTATGCCACCATAGTAAAACTTAGGCGACAGAGTGAGACTCTGACTTGAAAGAAAAAAAAGGCAAATGTTGGTTCTGTGGTTCCTCAGCAGCAGGGAGGGTGGCTCAGCTGTGTGTGACCTCAGGAGAGGCCTGGCCAGCCCTGGGGCGTGAGAGTGAGAGCTCAGGTGCTGCCTCAGGACCCCACTCAGGCACATGGAGGAGAGCAAACCCACCTCTGCTATGGTTGTCCTGAAGGAGTTTCAGGAAGGAGGAGAAAACCGGCTGTAGCAGGAGGCAGAGACAAAGGAGAAACCAAGTCGTGGCCCGGAGGCTGTCACCTGCCAGGGAGGGGCTGAGGGACCCTGGAGCTGCGTGTGCTGCCTCTGCCTGAAGTCAGCTCTAGAATTCCCGGGTTGTCTCTCTAGAGAAGACAGTTCCAGCCTTGAAGTGTTCAGTGAAGGAACAAGCGTAGAGACATTTGCGACCAAACGTCCTGGAGCGGCGAGTGGACATTCCTACCCATCTAGAGAAGCATCTTCCTCCTTCCTTTACCATTACCCCTGCATTTTTTTCTTGATTGCTAACATTTTCTCTCTGTTAGGAATGAACATGAGTGCTGACTGCCTCAAAGGACAATACCCTTCTGGTACTCCCTTTCTGATTTTGCAGAAGTCAAGGGAAGGCCTGTTTAGCTCGTTCACGCACGTGGAGTCAGATGGCCCTGACCAAGTGAAGCTAAGACATTCCAAGTCTAAGAGGAAAGGGATCTCTTGTTATTTTAGAATCTACTTCCCCCATTTTACTGATCAGACAAATGAGGCCCAGAGAGGTGTACAGTCTCACCTAGAGTCACACAGCAAGCTGAGATAAGAACTCACAAGTCTTGACTCCCAGAGTCATGCTCATTCAGAGTCAATACTGTACCTGCTTCTCCAGTGTTTGGGCCAAAGGTGAGGTCATGTGAAGACTGGTTCCGGATTCAATGCTTGCTATGGTGAAAACCAGAGAAAAAGGAGCAAGGCTGTTAGATGCAGGTCTCATGCTTTTTTATGTATACCATACACATATACACCTGGTCCACGCAAGACGATAAACACACACACCCATGGTGTTCATATTTCTTCACCAAATAGCATCTGTAACCTCTGCAGACAGAGTCTAAACAACATGTTCAATATAGTGTTCAGACCTTAGGTTCAAATTTATATTTTTCTTGTTTTTGTTGATTTTTTTTTTTTTTTTTTTTAGTTGGAGTCTCAGTCTTTTGCCCAGGCTGGAGTGCAGTGGCTTGCTCACCGGCCATCCTAGCGTCGATCATATGGCCTCCAGCAATCTTTCCGCCTCAGCCTTCCAAGTAGCTGGAACTATAGATGTGTGCTACCACGCCCGGCTAATTTTTGTGTGTGTATATATTGTAGAGATGAGGTCTCACCAAGTTGCCCGGGCTGGTCTTGAACCCCACAGGCTCAGGCAATCCACTTGCCTTGGCCTCCCAAAATGCTGGGATTACAGGTTAAGCCACTGAGCCCAGCCTTTGTTGCTTTTTGAAAGAGCAAAAGTAGGCTAAGTGTGGTGACTCGTGCCTATAATCCTAGCAATTTGGGAGGCTGAGGCAGGAGGATTGCTTGAGCCCAGGGGTTTGAGACCTGGACAACATAGCAAGACCTCGTCTCTATTAAAAATTATTAGGCAGACATGGTGGCATACCCATGTAGTCCCAGCTGCTTGGGAGACTGAGATGGGAGGATTGCTTGAACCCAGAAGGCTGCAGTGAGCTGTGATTGTGCCATTGCACTCCAGCCTGGGTGACAGAGTGCAATCCCAACTCAAAGAAATAAAAAAACAAAAGTAAATTCTTTGTGCTATTAAAATTCAGATAAAGCTGAAATTAAAAAGGAAATATTGATGGAAAAAATCTGCTGATGCTGTTGCATATGAATTTTGTCTGACGGTGCTTCACTGGAGGAGGAATTTTGTCTGACGGTGCTTCACCAGATGGAGAGAGCAGAGCCTTCCCAAATTCTCCCCTGTCATGTGGAGGGCCACCCGGAGAGGTGGGAACAGGAAGCAAATAGAGCTCAGGGCTGAAGTGGGGCTGGTGGGAGGAGACCAGGAGAAACCCAGGAGCCCACTGTGACAATGGTGATGCACGGACGCTGGTGTGGTGCTGGCGTGTGATCCCCATGAGTCCCCTGTGGTTGGGGTCATCCCAGAAGAGAAAGCTGAGACTCCAAATGGAAAGTGCCTCCCCCAAGGTTTCACAACCAGAGAGGTTTTACATGAGGATTTGCATCCACGATTGCCTGATTCTAAAACTCCGTGGTGCAAAAGGATGGGATTTATTCTGTTTTTCTTTTTTTCCCCATTAGACAGTGAATTTTAGGCCAGGTACGGTGGCTTATGCCTGTAATCCCAGCACTCTGGGAAGTGGAAGCCAGAGGATTACCTGAGACCAGGGGTTCGAGACTAACCTGGGCACCTTGGTGAGACCTTATCTCTACAATAAATAAAAACAAAATTAGCTGGGAGTGGTGGTGCGCACCTGTAATCCCAGCTACTTGGAAGGCTGAGGCCGAAGGATCGCCTGAGCACAGCAGGTTGAGGCTGTAGTGGCCATATGCATGCCACTGCACTCCAGCCTAGGCGACGGAGAGAGACTCTAACTTAAAAAAAAAAGTAAATTTAATGTTTATAAAGGAATGTTTATTTGAGGAACAGATTTAGCTAAACACATGGCTCTACTGACAAGGATTTTAGTCTCTTCTATGGGACCAGCGTCCAACAAAAAGTTCTTTGCATACTTGCTACTCTTAAGTCTCTCTTTTAAGAGCCCACGACCCTATGTGATGCTGTGTCTTTGTCTTGCTGACCTTAAGCCTCACTCATTCCTTGTGAACTGACTTTCCCTCTTCTGTTGTTTCTCAGCTGTTCTATTCTGCCTTGTTAGAAAATGGCTTTGCACAGAGTTAAAACATTTCTTATTTAAATCGGCTTGGGGGGAAACTGAGGTCCGGGGCAATGTAGTAAGAAGTGTTTTCATTCAATTGGCTCAAGCCCACACCTCTCAGTAATGCATGGCTAGGAATCAGAGCCCGGATGTCCTGACTTAGTGTCTTGGACTTTCTCTCCACATCACACTGCCTCCTGGTCGCCCAGCTGGAGCTCACCACACCACAGCTGCATGGCCTCGATTCCACCTCTGCACAAATCCAGCCCAGCAGAATTGTGTTGCAATGAGATTCACTTCACTGTGGCTTGGAAGGAACCAAGGGTCTCTTAGTAATGAGACTTATAAATTCTAATGCATGAGGAACGTTCTTGCAGCACCAGCAGAATGAATCAGTCAGCCAGAGTTCAGGAAATGTAAACACATTTTTAGATAGGAGACTGAAAAATCGCCTAGGACGTCTCCATCTCCTGGGTCAAGACCTTGGTAATTTACTGAGGTCCCAGCTGTCAAGCAGGAGACACAATTCAAACTGCATCCTGAGAGACAGAGCTATGGGCATGGCAAAGCTTCCTTTCTGAGCACTGTGACGAGATCTACCCTTTTATCAAGGTAGACACTGATGGACCCACCCACCAGCCTGGGCAACTGGCTATGAACACAAGCCCGATTCTTTCCCGTCATTCAGGATTAGTGTGCACATTCACAGACGGCAACTGCCCAACTTCCAGGCACGCCTGACACGGGGGGCGGGTGGGGGAAGAGGCTCACATTCTGTGATGAACATTTCTGTCACTAAAGAGATAAACAAAAAGCACATTTCGCCCTGGCTGCTCAGCGTCAGGCACAAGCAGATTTCCTTCTGCCAGTTTTAATCTAACCACAGGCTTGTAGGGAGGAGATGGAGCTCCCACCAGCTAAATCAGCCATGGGGTTAGAAATGACCCTGTTCGGTGGGGTCTTGTTCCAAGGCTCTTCTGCCCTCTTCAGATCATGGGATCCTTCACCGACCAATCCAAACTTGAAAAGCAGGAACAGGCATCTGATTTTAGCACAGAATAAGGCCCCTTACCTTTTCCTTCTACTTAAATTTGTGTTGACTATGGTTAGTTCTCAAGTTGCTGTTGTTTTAAGTAAAAATGAAACATTATCATGTTTGCTGTCATTGTTTCGAGTACTTGTTTCCCTTGGGATGGGATGCTCTAGTGCGGCCCACCTGGTGTCAGAAGAGACATTCAACACATTAGAGTCATTTTAGGAGGCCAGGTGGGCCCTTGGCTCCTCCTAGATGTGTGTCAGGGTTTGGTAAAGCACATCAGACCAGCCAGGCATGGTGGCTCACGTCTGTAATCCCAGTACTTTGGGATTACAGGAAGATTGCTTGAGGCCAGGGGTTTGAGAGCAGCCTGGGCAGCATAGCAAGACCCTCTCCCTACCAATTTTTTTTTTTAAATTGAAGTCTCACTCTGTTGCTCAGGCTGGAGTGCAGTGGCTCACTCTCAGCTACCCCAGTGTTGACCTACTGGACTCCAGTGATCTTTCTGCCTCAGCTATCCAAGTAGCTGGAACTACAGGTGCGCGCTACCACGCCTGGCTAATTTTTTGATTTATTATAGAGATGAGGTCTTGCCAAGTTGCCCAGGATATTCTTGAACCCCTGAGCTCAGGCAATCCTCTCACCTCAGCCTCCCAAAGTGCTGGGATTACAGGCTTGAGCCACCACGCCTGGCCCAAATAAATATATTTTTGAGTTGGAGTCTCACTGCTTTGCCCAGGCTGGAGTGCAGTGGCATGCACGCTCATGGCCACCCCAGCGTTGACCTGCTAGACTCCGGCGATCCTTCTGCCTCAGTCTTCTGAGTAGTGGGAACTATAGATGTGTGCTACCACGCCTGACTATTTTTTATTTTATTGTAGAGACGAGGTCTCACCAAGTGCCTGGGCTGTTCTAGAACCTGCGGGCTCAGGCAATCCACTCGCCTTGGCCTCCCAAAGTGTTGGAATTACAGGCTGAGCCACCGAGCCCTGCCCCAAATATTTTTAAAAATAAAAAATTTGCTGGGTGTGGTGGCATGCACCATGAATGCATGAGTAGTCGTCCTGGCTACTAGAAAGGCTGAAGTGGGAGGATCACTTGAGGCTAGGCGTTCAAGAACAGCCTGGGCTAGCCAGGTGTGGTAGTGCAAGCCTGTAGTTCTGGCTACTTGGAAGACTGAGGTGGAAGGATCATCAGAGCCCAGCAGGTTGATGCTGGGGTGGCTGTGAGTGTGCCACCGCCTTCCAGCCTGGGCGACAGAGTAAGACTCCAACTCAAAAAAAAAAAAAAAGAAAGAACAGCCTGTGCAACATAGCGAGACCCTGACTCAACAACAACAACAACAACAACGAAACCAAAACCAAAAAACAATAACCCTGCACGCTCCAAAGTATCCAGATACTGAGGGGTTCCAAGGGCAGCGGCCTTTGGAAGTGCTGGCAGGAGCTTCTTTGAATCTGCCCAGAGCTTCTTCCCACATACACCATTTCTGAGGTGTGAGCCCTCGACAACTGGTGTGGGCCCTGGAGAATCCCCCACCATTCGCGGTGGTTCCTCCCCGGGGAGGGGACACATCTCTTGCCAACAGACCTTCTCATGGCTCTGCAGTGGCCTTGCTGGCCCAGCAGAAACCAGTGGGAGAAGACCTGACTGTCAGCCTTGATGCCATCATGGTTTTGTGTTTTTGCTCATAAATGGAAAATGCAAATGTAAATTCCAGGTTATTAAAAAAAATTCTTCCCAGTATAAACTTAACCATAAAAGGGAGGATCATTTTAGTCGGCTGAGCTTTCCTTAAGAATATCTAAAAATACTTTATTTCATATGCTGTAACTCAGGACGCCTGTGACCTGAGGAGTGTCTGTAGTGTTGTCATACCCTTCGAGTCTGCTTGTTTAATGCAGGAGACCAAGACCCAAGAGGGCCTTTTGGTACTGTCATCATCAAACTCTCAGGACAAGATTTAAGAGCCTGTTTGTGCTACACATTTTTGCTTTAAATCTTCC